CACCCTCAATACCACGACTGAGGTGCCACCTCAAGCACATTGACCGTTATGAAGAGCACAAGACCACCGTCTACTTCCCCCGCACCCCCGAGGCCGAGCTCCCAGACAAGAACAGCGTGTGAGGAGCGACGACAGTGCTGTAAAACCAGCAAAAGACCAGCATGGAAAGGATTGCTAGTTCTGATTCTGGATGGCTGCGTTGTCCTCTTGGTCTTCCTCCTGCCTGACACTACATCCTCTCTTTATCACTGTCTTAACCTAACTTCTTACAGGCAGAGGATGAGATTACCTGATCAATCAGGTGTTAAAACCCAGGCTGGAGCCAAGCCTGGACAGATCACGGCTTTCCAGGACCAGGACTGGGAAGCCTATGAAATGGGGACAAAAAATGTGAGATTGCCTTTTAATAGACCACCATTATGACGGACTTTTCAAAGCACTTCTCTGACTGGAGACAAGTAATGTGGTTAGAAATATACAAATTGACAATGTGGTGGTGGCTGAAGAGAAAAGACTGTGAAACAGAAATGACTGTGGCCTGATATGGAAGTCTTCTGGGTTTTTTATTTACAGTTCTTCATAAATCACCATCTCATTCATCTGGAATGGAGTCTGCAGACTGATCTGCCAAATTACAAGAACTGTTTTATGACTGCCAAAGTGGTGCAAAACTGTTTGTCAGCCTTGATGGGTAACTTGACAGTAATAATGTGAATATGAAACATACAAAACAAACCATAAAATGTACAGTGCTTAATACTATTTATGTATTCCAGAACTATACAATGTAGATTCAGGAATTCCATAAATATACTCATTGGCTTTAAATGATCAGCTAGATATTCATATAGATCTAGATTCAACTGCTGTTTTAGTAATGAACAAACTTCCGGTATTAAGCACCTTCAAATCTATAAATATTAAGTGCGTAAAGCGTATAGCAAGAAAAAAGACTTTTTTAAAGCTTCGGAAACTGATATATTGCACAGAATTTGTTTTTATATGATCTCATAATTGCTATGCCGTCCCTTTTCAGGTGGAATATATTAAGACTAATAGATGAATTTAGCACCCTTTGAGAATTTATAGTACAGACAGTATAACTATAGTGAGGTAATGCTGAAAGAATGCTGTACAATTATTCATGTAAGTGTTTAATACCCTCAGTATCATAATCAGTATACCTCTATATCTACAATTATAACATCAGTAACTCATTATCACAATAACCTGCAGCATGACAATGACTAGAGATAAACCTCTACCATGGCACGTCTGATACTGGAGGTAGCAATGTGTAATGTGTTCATTTGAATGATGGTCGTACACACTGAAGTGCACAAGAAGTTTCCTGAACATCGTCAATTCAGTCTGAACAATAAACAGTGATCAGATCAAAACAGTGCATCATGCTTTATATCTTCAATGGTAGAAAAATGTTGCATGCCTTTTCTGTATTGTTCTCTAATATGGTAATCTTAGTGGTCGTGGCCATGCAGACTGCTGCTGTAGGGATCACCGCTGTCTTTCGAGCCCACCTCATGCTGGCTGTCTGCTACGGCCCTGTTTTTTTGTGGTGAAAAAGCAGCAACCCCCTTCTGTTTGATTTTTTCCTGCCCTTTCTGCCATCTGCTCTCCTCTCACACTTCTCAGCAGGAGCCTGCAGTGCTGCCCTCTTAACGGGACAGTTTACCTGTCTGCCTTCGAAACGAACTTTACTCACACATGCACTACTTTCTGTGTCGCTGACTCTCACAGCACAGCGTGTGTTTTTCTGCAGGGTCTAAAAGCCTCACAGCTGGCTTTAGTCTGGCTTTGTGATACATATCCAAACAATATTGTGTTGGTTTAGTCATGGCTGAGTGCTACTTTCTAATGGTTTATTCCTTAATTATTTACTTTTATTCCACGGCGCTCTGGAATACTTGATTCTGATTGGTCAATCCGTCGTCCATGGCTACTTTTATATTTCTCATATCACTCAGCAAACTCTTGTTACATACGAACACAACTATTCAGTTATCAACTGTAGTGAAAATGACCTCAGAGGACGACAGTATTAATATTACTGTTGTTGCAGTGTTTGTCTTGTTGCTTGGCTGATTATTTTGTACATTGTATTGGACCATTTATGTCAGTGGAAGCATCAAGATAATATAAAGATAAAATTATAAAATAATTCTCAAATCAATATTTCATCATGTCAATCACTTTTTTTTTGGCAGTAGCAGTGTAATAATTGGGATCATGTACAATCAGCTGGTCATTATCACAAAATAAACCCCAACACTTCACTTTTATCTGCATTTGGGCAAAGACTGTAGATCCCTATTAATAATGATGAAAATTGGATTTTTTAAGAGGCCTTATGATCAAAATATAGTAAGATAATAATTATCATTATAATAATTAAAAAGGTATTTCTTTTGTATGTTGATTCAACGTATAAATCTTGTTCAAATTTCAACATTGATTTATAAGTATTTCGTTAACCTTTTTAAAACCAGTAAGCATTAAATGTTGTTTCAATTTTTTTTCAACATTGAAACAACAACTAACATTCATCGGGGTTTAAGGTCGGTTATGTGCTGGCTGGGCATGTATGTACTGTAAACACACCACCTTATTACATGCTAAAAAAACTTCACTTATTTAATATTGAATATAAAAATATTCAGTGTAAGTATTAGAGTGGATAAAAGAGAATGGAAACGATAGAGAAATTGTCTAATCTTAATCTAGCCTACAAAACACTGAATTATTCAGGCACCTGAGACCCATTTTTAGATCCAAATCTTGGATTATTTTGTTATCATTACAAGCTCCACATGCTTATATCTCAGGGATTTATGACCATGACTCATCCCTTTCAAGGATTCAAGGTTATAGTGATGGCACTGGACAAGGTCACTTCAAGGTGAGTGATATTCTCCACTGGTGATCGGGTCTGATTTTTCTCTTGTGCAGTCAGCACTTACGTGGGCAAGAACAATGAATGAGACAGGTTTGCTCTGTCGCCATGACAACAAAGGAAAGATCCATACAAACCCTTTCAGTCTTCATCTGAGGATGGCAAACTCCATATCCATATCAGTTGTTTTGGAAAGATTAGCCAGCATAAGTCAGCCTGAAGGAGAAAACATAATAATTTCATAAAGAGATTTAAAGGGATGGCACTATAAATTCAATGCATATGTCTAACGTAAAATTATATGTAGTTATAGAGTGTACATCTAATGTTCTGTTCAGATAAATTATGCAAAATGCACAACAAGATTGCACAGATTTTCTATAAGGTAGGTAAATAGCAATATGTAATTTATGAGAAGATTCAAGAATAAAAGTTTTGTTAAAATAATGTGAGACTTCCTATCTATCCATCCATCCATCCATCCATCTATCATCCATCCATCCATCCATCCATCCATCCATCCATCATCTATCTATCTATCTATCTATCTATCTATCTATCTATCTATATTTTTTTCTGACAGTATAATAGATTTGAAACCATAGCCTTAAATGCTAGATTTATAAATATTTATAAATAATATAATAAGGTCACACACTTTTTAAAATTTGGTGTTGATCCATATCAGTCAATAGCCAATCTATTACAATTATCTGAGAAAATGGAAGCAGAAGCACCCAAACATATCTGAAACATGTTGAAGAGATTAATTCAAAATAATAACTTCATCCTTTTCCCCTAGCACTCAAAATCAGGGTTGTTTACATTTGGATACCCTCTAAAATATTAATTAAACATGTGACTATAAACCATTGCTAGCAATAAATGTATGTATTTGTTAAGGATCAGCGGTGTATTTTGCATGTTTACTATAGACTAGCCATCTTCAAATGACCGGAGCACTTTGACATGTCACGTGATTGACATCTTGACACGCAATAATATAATTTATGAAATCACAGTGCTTTGGTTGGCATTTGGCATTGATACAAGCACGAATGACCACTATTGTTAACCGTTTTTACATAAGAGACGCCCTAATGAGGGAAACAATGGGCCTGAGTGTATTCTACTATGCAGCTGCAGCCTCTTTAGATGCCTCAGGTCTCTTGTGTGCCCATGATGTGAGCGAGACCTCCAGACCATCACCACAAGGGGGGCGTCAAATGACGACGCATGCAAACAATTTCCACAAAGAAAACGACCCCTCAGAGTACAATATACTTTAGCAGCGCTTCTATATCGTATTCTTTTTCCACCCAAGCGTTTTACTGCCTGGTTTTGACAGGTGAACCCCCAGACAAGATATTTCGATGCGTCGGTGCCCCCCCGCGCTTCAGAATGGACTCGTCCAGTTCTCATCACCGGAATCGATAGTTAAAGAAGCTTGAATATTGCGGCTCTGTTTCGGCACAAGCTAACGTGACATCACGAGTCTTCAGGTAACGGCATCTGTTTATAGTCCTCAGACTTAAGTGAAGTGAAGCGAAGGTGATGAGTAATCTTCTTAATTGATACAATGACGCTAAGCTGTATTACATAACTGGCATGACGTTATGCTTTGAATGTGAGCTATAATTTGACGTTTAAAACTGGAAAAGATGAAGACTTGTGTTTGTGTCGTTACAAATCTGTTGCCATTTTGGAAAACTGTGATTATTTTAGTTTTCCGCCTCATTAACTAGCTGAGTCATAATTGGCATCACCTGGAAATTTGTAATTAATGCCTTTACTATTCAAACCAATTACTTTGATTTTTTTTTTTAAATAGCTAAGTTAATATTTTACAGTAACATTAACATATTTGCTCCCGTGCTCTGTTACAGTGGGGGAAACAATGGAGGAACAGAAGCTGAAAGATCCTGTTAATAAAGTGTCTCTGATCAAAGGTAAAGTCACATTACTGCACTTGAGTTTCTGTAGTTTCTGAAGTGTTTCGAACCAAACTATAGTGCTTTACTGTTCCATTAGGCAATAATTTATAGGATAATAAATATTGTTTTTTATATTGTTTTTTTTATTTTACTTGCAGTATGTCAAAGTACTGTGGGGCTAAATTATAGATTGACTATGTACATTTAGTTATTTTTGAGCAGAATTGGATTAAATCTTTGTGGTTTTTTTTAAATATTGCATTAATTATTTTTATTATGCATTTTTAACATGGAAAAAAGACATATAGAGAGGGGAATAAAATGTATTCAAATTTAGTGTAAGTGACATTTCTGTAAGATATGCGTTTTATATGGCTATAACTATATTTTGCAGTGTTCTTCAGTAGTTCAGTGCAATGAATAAAACCTTTTGTTCCGAACAAGTAGTTTTACAAAAATCATTTTATTATGCCCAATTTAATCATGCATGGCGGAATTTTCTTGTCATTAGTTGCAATGGAATGGTTTTGGCTGGAACGGTTTTCTAGTCTGTGCTAATACTTTAATCATGGCGGAAATTTTGTCCATCTGACTTTGTCTTCCTGTCGGTATGTCTATCTTCCTCCTCCACAGACTCAAAAATAAATTAGGCCAGAGCGTTCCTATGTGTCCTCGTACCCTGCTGAGAGATTGAGTTCTTGATGTAGAATGGCATCGATAAACATTACCCACCGCAATACCTCATGAAATGTTAATGCCTCCGTCCTCTCTGCTCTGGCAGTTGTGTTTGGCCTGCACAGGCTTCGGTATTTTAGCTTAGTCATTCAAGTGAGGCATGTGAAGTTCAATTTTCTGGAATTACGTCTCTCTGATTGCAATGATATGTCCTTGATATGGCCATTTATGGTATACACCCTTGAGTTTGTAAGATGAGGTCATATCTTTCTGGAACATTTGATAAGATGGCCTGGTTTTCAGCAACCCATATTTAGAGGAAGAGGAGCAGGTTTGTTTCTAAGTTTAGGCAAACTAGCTAAATTGCAGCCAGTAAACGTAACATTTGCAGAGCAATGCATCAGTTGAAAATCTTTATTAATGTTTTTATAGCAGTTTGAAAACTTTTCCGATTCATTATGAAATGGCACTGTATTACATTAGAACTTTAAAGGGGTCCTATTATGCTTTTTCACTTTTTGAATTTTAGTCAGTGTGTAGTGTGTATGTTTGGGCATAAAAAAGATCTTCAAACTTACAAATCTCAAAGTCCACTCCAAAGGAGTATTTTGTTTTTTAAAAAAATCCCTTTTCAAGAACTACAACAAATGGCTCGTTTGGACTACAGCGGGGGTTTTTTTTTCAGGTTTTGTGATATCACAAAGTGGCCCATTAGAATATCATTAAAATAATTCCCGCCTA